GTCTCCTCGTCGGCGCTCTCGACCTTCTGCTCCGCAGCGTCCTTGACATCACCCTCAACCTCTGGCTCGGTGGTTTCCTCGACGGCAGTCTCGACCTTTGGCTCCAAAGTCTCCTCCGCGGGAGTCTCCCCGAACTGCTCTGCTGTGTCCTCCACGGAATTCTCCTCCGCTGGCTCCGCAGCCTCATCCACGGTGTCCTTGCCCTCTAGCTCGGCGGCATCTTTGTCGGTGTCTTCAAGCTCTTGGTCCGCCGTGTCTTCAACCTCGGCAATGATAAGACTTCATAATCCCGAATTCTAGCCCCTGTGCGTAGATTCCTAAACCCTCAACCCCTACACCCTAAACCCCTAAACCTCTAAACCCTAAACCCTTCAACCCCCAAACCCTTAAACTCCTGAACCCCAAATCCCTAAACCTTCAAACCCCTAAACCCTGTAACGACAATGGGGGGTGGGCTCGTTTCAGGTCAGCGACACTCTCAACCTTTTCCTCCTTGTCGACCATGTTCTCAACCTTCTCTTCTGCGGGCTCTGCGACTGCAATCTTGACGTGCCTTGTAGTTTAGGGTTTAGGGGTTTAGAGTTTAGGGGTCTAGGGGTTAGGATTTTAGGGCAGTTTAGGATTTAAGGGTTTAGGGTTTAGCACTTAGGGGTTCAGGGGTTTACGGTCCCTCGCTGGAGTACTGGCCCAAGGATCTCAAATGTTGGGTTTGAGGTATCTAAAGCCAATCATAAGAAAGGTATTTGGGACCCTAGAATGCAGGACTCTAGGTACTTGGACCTTTACCCTAAGGCTCCATTTAGATACCATTTCTAGATTTTGGGGCACGATGTACATACTATTTGTGGACTTAGAGCCCCAGGGTTAGGGAATTGCTCAACGACAATGGTTCTGAGTCGGTCTCGAGTCGTGCCTAGCACTTCAGGTTTAGAGCTCTAGGCACAAGGTTCAAATACAGCCCTACACTAAAAACCCCAAGCTGTGTTGAGTGCTGACCCTAAACCCCAAATCGCCAAACTCTAAACCCCTAAACCCTGAAGCCCTAAACCCTAAACCCTACACCCCCCAAACCCTCAACCCCTAAACCCAACCTGGTCTTTGCAACTGGTCATTGCAAGCCCCCAAGGCTCCTAACCTTCCCCATCCAAGGTCATGATCCAGGGGGTTAGGGCTTGTAGGGGTTATAGGGATTAGGGTTTTAACGGATTAGGGGTTTAGTGGTTAGGGATTGAGGGTTAGAGTTTATAGGGTTCGGGGGATTAGGACTTAGGGTTGAGGGGTTTAAGGTTAGGGGGTAAGGGTTTAGGGTCTAGGGATTCAGCTTTAGCCGTCAATTACACTTACATAGGTTCCATGCAGGTCCGGCCTCTGAGTACTTGGGCCAGATAGAAAGTACTTGGGGGTCTACGGAGGGTGTTGTAGGTTTGCGAATGGCAGGAGGCCCAAATCTTCACAAGCACCAACACAAGAAGCCTACTACAGTGATCCTTGATTCGCACTCTCCCCTTGCTTCACACCATGCAAGGCCTTGCCGAGATCCAGACTGCCAGGGGTAAATCACACACTAAATGCCCTCAGCACCGTAATACCGAAACACGCGTTTTCACATCCAGCCTCAAAACCTCTTACAATTGGATACCGCTTCCAGTATGACAGGCCCATTGGAATTTGAAAAAACCCCATACACTCAATAACAGTCTTCTGTCTGAAAGCTATGGCGTGTGCAGCACGGAACATTACATCCAACCCTTAAACCCTAAACCCTAAACCCTAAACTCCAAAGCACCCTTGGTGATGGTGGGATCAGTATCCAACCCAACTCGCTCCCTTAACCTTGCACACTCCCAAAAGCCGACGGCAAAAAGGGTGTTTAGGGTTTAGGGTTTAGGGAACCACCATTCACATCCTTAAACTCATCTGACGCCTTCCTGTTCCTGAACAATGACCAGATGCGAGCGAGTGCTGTTCTCCTGGAGTTTAGGATCCTAGGATGTGGAGTGCACCCGCAACTTCAATCTTGACCCTGAGAGGGTTTAGGATTCAGGGTTTAGGGTTCAGGGACCTTATATCCTAAACCCTGAACCCTAAGTCCTAATTCGTGTCCAAACTGCAAGAAGATTATGTCGTGGTTCCATGTTTGCTGAGGAGAGAGAACATCAAACAAAAAACAGCTACCATTTTACACGTCAGCATAGTTCGTTTGTTCCCCTACCACCCCCAACCCACGAGGTTTCTCCTTAATCACACTGTTCCAAGGACACTTAAAGCTAAATCCTGAACCCTGAACAATGTATAGTCCAAAGGTGCTCCCGCTCCGGTTGGATGCGGATAGCATGAACCAAAGAGTGGTGCAAAAGGAAATCACGTGGGAGTTTCTCAGAATGTTGGGTCTCTTTGGGACTCCAGGGAATATATTATATAGGGATTACCAGGAGATTGTGGGGGGGGGGGTCCCTACCAGACATTACATGCGGGACTCTTTTGAAGAACTTCTATGCGTCTACGGAACCGAATATACTTGCCGTTCTCCTTTGTTGTCACTACTAGTGGGCCTGAGGAACGCCGAAAATGCAGTTAATACTTAAAATCTGCATGATCTCCGTATACTGTAGCTATAGTACCATAATCAACCCTAAAGCGCTACAACTAAACCCTAAGCTGTAATTCTCAAGCTGTAAGGTACTTGGGGTCATGCAGGCGGTTAACATGAAGCATATAAAACCAAAGAAGTCCTTCAACAATACAAACTTCCATTTCACTCTCCATCCTCTTTTCCATTTCATCCATTATTGGGGATATCATTCCCTGAATCCCAGCCCAAACCCTAAACCCTGAACTCTAAACCCTAAACCCAAAACCCTAAAACCTGAACTCTAAACCCTAAACCCCCCCACCTCGAATATGGGCCCTAAACTTGGCCTTTAGTTTTACCATCAAGCTCCCCAGGCCACAGACAGGCCCAGCGTATGAGATGCTGGGGCTACCTAAACCCCCCAAAGTAGGTAAAATAACGGCCCAAAACCCCTAAATATAGCCCAAAAGGCCATTATTCTACATACTTTCGGGGTCCTGGTAGGGCTTCAGGGAGTTCGGGGATATGGGAGGTCCTCCAAAAGAATCCCTGTAGAATCTCGAATAAAAACAAGCATATGAGCCAACCGCCCTTTTGTCCCTAAGGGCCCTACAAACGCTCCCCCTGGTAGAAAGGAAGGCCCAAACCCTTAACTCTAAGGGATTTGGAACCCCAGTAGAAATTATAATTTCAGCTAAATATTAGGATTCTAGGTAACAGAAATTTTAAAAAATAAGGAACCTTGTGGTTAAGTCCAAGTCACCTTGGACTTCCTGGCCGCAGACCTGTTGTGCCTGGCGAAGGACAGCTCCTCAATGAGCCTCAGTAGGGGCTTAAGATCTGGGGTTGAAGGCGTTACGGTTCAAGGCTTTTCCAAGCTGTATATGGTGGTTCAAGTCCGGAGTTGTGGGCGGGTTTTGAGCAATTTTGGTGCCAGTCTTCGTTTTACCTTTTGCCCAATACACTTTGTATTTATCGGGCTTGAGGGTTTTAGGGTTCAGTCTTTAGGATTTGGGATTCAGGGATTAGGGTTTAGCCCTTGGGGCTTAGAGTCTGAGATTGTGAGTTTAGGAATTGGGCCTTTGCGAAGACGATTGTCCTTGAAAAGGGGGCTAGACGGGATATTAGAATAATGGAGAGTCAAACGAAAAAAGAAAATCGAACATTAAATGGACATTGGGCTTACGTAGCCTCTGAACGGTTCGTGGAGCCGCAGCTTGTCAATTGCGAGATTGATAACCGTATGTATAACCCTTTTATGACCCTATTGGAGGACTTATGGTGTCACAATAGGGTTCTAAGCACAGTTTCGAATCGGCTTAAAAAGGTTTAGACTGTGGGGCGTATACGCTCAGTATAGTGCATGGAGGGTATAGTTCTTCACGGACTAGAAGAGCCCAATGGTGGTTCCGGCTTCTACAGTACGCTTTGGGTGTTAGGGCTTGGGGGTTTAGGATATCAAAGCGTATGGCCTTTCTCTGTTGGCATGTGTTTAGGGTTTAGGGTTTAAGGTTTTTCGGGCGGGGTTTGGGGTTTAGGGTTAAGAGGTTTAGGGTTTAGGGGTTTAGGGTAATCCGAGCACTAGAACAATAAAAGGGACAATGGTTCAAGAACTTGTTCAAGATTTTTTTTGGATAGAATTAGGCTCCAAAGACTAGCTACAATTAGGTGGCTCTTCGCATGGGAAAAGGGACCAGATCTAAAGAAAATTGTCGGGGAAGCTATCCTGATAATAGAGATATTCAATGCATTCCTATTCATTTTCTGAGGTCCAAGAGCCCCAATGACGCAGGAATGCATCCCTCTTCTTTTTTAAATTGCGTTCCAAGAGCCCCAATCAGTCTTTTAATCTGGCGCCCCTTATTCCTTATTCTGGCGTGAGGGGGGGGGCAAAACAATTATCAAGTGCTCGGATTATTTATAGTTCTATAAA